TCTTTATGACTTATAAAACTAGCACACTCTAGTGAAGTAAACATCCAACCTTGTTTCCACATTCCTTTCAAGCATTAAAGTTTGTGTCGTTAAATCCTCGCAGACATCTTTTGGTTGCTTAGCAACAGACGCCTGGTTTCCCTCATCACGTTTACAGGATACCAATTGTTCTCAGTTTATTTGTGTAGGCATAGTTATACGTTTTCCCGGTGCATGGTGACTTTAGCCAGCTTTCCAAACCAAATAAAGCCAGAAAGACAAACATAAAGCAAAATGCTCACATCGTGTAAATATACTCATTATAGTACACAACATTTTCTTTGGCTGTAATTTTCAGAAATGGATGTATTTGGGAGTTAGAATTCTACAGCAAATATTGTTACACTTCTGTGTTTATAAATGTTTGGTGCTCATAGTCATAGGTGCAGGAAAACCCAAGACACATTTATGTTCTTGTAGTCTGGTTTCCTGACCCTAACGTCCGATGAAACGGAGCAGTTTATAGACGTCGGGGAATTGTCAGGTCATGAACCAGGCTAGCTGGCTTGCACCCGTTCACGGATGTGTAACCGATTGCTAACAAAATGTCGACCAAATAAATTTGGTAAATTGGGTGCAGTATTACGACCATCGTTGGAAATTGCACCAAAATTCCACTTTTCTTGAAAAGACAGCACACCAGGTGCAAAAATTACACAGGATGCTTGAGACTATTCACTTACAATCAGGTAAGACATTTCGTAATAATTTGGCATTTTATGTCTGCAAATGCTGTATGTTCCCTTTAAGGCTACATGTATTGCATAGGACTATATGTTCTAGCACCAGCAGTGTAAACTTGTGTTAATATCTTTGAAGTTGCTGCCACGTCAGAAAACGACCATACCAGCTATTTTGCCAAATACAAAGAATATCCAGGTCTTCTTTGCAATTCTGTATGATTTTGAAATTCAGCTAAACTGTGGCTTCATATTGCGGATTATCTTTCTTCCTGCTTCGCCATCTGTAACGTGATAATTTCCTGCGTCCTGGTTCAACAACACCAAGACCTCATTTCACATCCTGCTAAAGCTGGCAAATAAAACTAAATATCTTCTTCAAAATGCCTTACACGACCTTGGCCGTCTTACTATTAACAAACAAGCAATGCCACATAACTTTTCACAGACTCCTAATCAACTCACGTATTTGTCTTCCTGTATGTTAAGTTCACAAAAGGCATCTTCTAGTACGAGGCATTATACATGTACCATGAATATTTATGTCCAGAAGAATATTTGTTGTTGTTCTGCAGCTCAGGGGAATTAAAATAGGCTGCACTCGCATACCGTGACCTCAGCCAAAGGTCACAGACTGTAACCGACATACACGCCCCGGGCTTGATACGAAAACCAGCATCTATTTTTGTGTCAAAAAGATAACACATCCCCAAATGATTCATGACTATATGGGGCATACCGAATGTGCCTTAAAGTCATCAGAGGTATCAAGAGTCTCGTAAAGTCATTCTGCATCATACGTCTTTGTTCCTTTGTTCAGTTCAGAATGTTTAGTGAGCCTTATTAAATATTTTACTCCACGACAGAAAGTGTATGACTTGTCTTGATATGTATAGAAACACTACAGTTTGTACAGGGCAAGGAAATTATACGTTTATCTTAAAATTGCCAACCATGTATTGAACAAACATATTTGTCTATGGTCTTAATTTTCTTTCATTTGTTTAGATGACATACAACAGTTTATGAATTCTATTTCTGAAACATAACTTCAAGTATCGAGGTGCTATAATGGTACCAAATTTAATTATCCTATACGAGATAAATAAAATGGGTTATCACAAATCAAACTGATTTGAGGTCAATATCCAGGTCCGACTAAAGGTCGATTTTGTCTATCTGATGGGCCACAACTACCGATACTTTTTTCACAAATGATTTTAAGTTTAGTAGATTGGTATACGGCTACAAAATGATACAAAATATCAGATTTGAACATTTACAGACACAAGAAGGCTATAGATAAAAGAATTAACGTTGGTAATCAAAACGGCAGACGGTGCATCATGAAGAAAAAAAATTGTCAGCATCCAAAAATGCAGACCGAACGAGTGACTCATGTAAATGCCATCCACCATAATAGATCCGTGTGTCACATATGTACATAAGATCAGACCTGCATTATACAGTATATGTTTCATATTCATGTATACAACAATTTATATCCTATTATAGAATAATCTAATACAAAAAAGTGCAGGGTAGCTGCTTGTGTCTGCTACCTTATGGGATTTGGTCATTCATAAACAGGGAGTTATGATACCGTATTCAAGTGCCTGTATATTTACTCTCAGTAAACACACACACATGTGGGTGCATGATTTCTCAAGTGCTGTTCAAATCTGTTTTATTGTGATGTGTGCACATGCATAAAAGTCAAGTTTCGTATATATTTTTCTGTAGATTCTGATCTGACGCAAGGAGAGTTTTAGAGAGTTCATTTGGTAACTATATTATAGCCAGTTCTGAAAAACATCAGGAACCTTGGAAACAGAAAGCATATTTTTAAAGTTGGGTATTAAAGGCATGCCGCAGAACTTATTTCGAGCAATTTGAGAGATCTCAATAAAACATCAACATTTTGGTAGTCTTAACTTATACATTCTGTTAATTTCAGTATCATGGGTGGCAACAATATAGCATCTTGACTTTGGGCGTGATTATGGCTACATGGCATGTACGGCTTTATGGCTTCTGACTAGCGCCCCCTCATAAAACAAAACACGACATTGACAGGATGGTGAACCGCCAACATAGGGCTGGATAGCTCAGTTGGTAGAGCACCGGAATGGCAATCCAGAGGTCGCAGGTTCAAACCTTGCTCTTATCAATTCCACATTCAACTTTTAAATTTTAACAAAAATCACCTATTTGTGAGGGCTGTCTTTTGACTTGGGCTATCTGAAATAACTGGACGAGACTGCCCCTTTAATGACCCTTTTCAGTTGCGAAAGAATCGTAGGAAGAAGATTCTCACCATTGTCAAACCAGCAAAATAAGGGAAGGACACAGTTGGTTGCGCATACCATGGCAGACAAACAGTATAATTCAAGCCTCCAAGGTTCGAAATATCTATGGGAATGCAAAGATAACTGCACGTAGTCGCCAGAGCAGAGCAAAGCAAAGCAAAGCAAAGCAACCAACCACACATCAGTAATCCAACCATTGTTCGAAATTTCTATAGAAACTGGTTATTTACAAAGTCTGGGAACGAAGGAAACACAATGCAGCATGACGTAAGGCAAGTGGTTTTTCCTGGATGCCCAAATATGGCAAGAAAGTGAAAGAAACATCTCTGATTTGACAAGGTAAGCAAGTTGGCAACGTCCAACTAAACTAAAGAGTATGATTCATATAGGAGGGATGACTTATCAGGAGTTAAATAACCGAGAAACACTTTTGAACACTATTCTCAAAAGACTTCCTAAAAAAGACAAGGAAATCTCTGGAAGAGAAGTATTCTTCATACAGTTCTAGAGTTAGGTATATAACCAAATTCAGTTTCGACAACCGATTTTTAGAGAACCGTCGGTTTCTCAAACACAATACGAACCATGTGTCTTATTTCTGTACGATATAGATTAGATAAATTTGATTGCTTTAATCTGTTTAGGACCACGGTGACTTTAAAGTAAAGGAAACTGGTATAAAAGGAAGGTTACAGCTCAAAGAACAAAGGCCTTATTATACATGCCAAATAGCAAGTTGTACGTGAGGGGGCGTGTCCAGTTTGAAACATTACTTTTCTATGGCCCATTCCTTACTTTATGATTCAGACCATGGAATGAATTGCATATCAGACATAGACGATGTACGAGGAAGTGGGGCCACTAACCAGAAGACATAATAGCAGTTGCACTGATGATTGCACATATGTCATTTGATGTCGTGCACTTACTTCAAAAGAAATAATATATATTTTTAACAGTCGATGGGCTGTTAAGCAGAGTGACATTTTGGACGTGGATAAGTCCGAAAATTTGAGACTCTCATTCTCAATACTGTGTACGAGACTCACAAAAATTAAGGTACTGAAAAAAATGCAATACAATAAAACAGACTGGCACATGAAACATCTGGTACCTAGTCTATATTTCTACACATCTCTCCATGGTCTGCCACCAGACCACTGAAGGGTCAATTTTTTCAAACTGTCTAGTCTTTGGCTTCAAATTGCAAACAGTAGGCTTCACTCTCCTGTGCAAAATGTAAAGAGCGAGTAAAGTTGGCCTGAATTTGTTTTGCATGGTTTTCTGCACTCAAGGTCCCAGTCTGGACGTGGATATAACTTCTTTATGTTTGAAAGTTGGACGAACATAATATTAAAAATTCAGATATAAACTGAACATAGAATTTGAAAATAGATGAAAATACATTCAAAACGGATTCAGAATGTTGCATCCTGACGCCACTTTCTCCACAGTACTAGTCATAATTATCTCAATGAAGCCTTTGAAGGTCAGTCATTGCAAAAAATATTTAGAATACATGAATCTGAAATAGGAAATATTTCCGATTTTGTCAGAAAATACTTTGAAACTGCACTCGACTTATCTCCATAGTCTTCGTGGATACTATTATTATTATTTTTACTACATTCTTTTCTTTATCTCTCCCATTCGTGTTAATTGTTTTCAAAATTCAAAATGCAGTGATTGTGGCGTCGGGATACTGCATTCTACCCCGTATGGTGGAAAGATTCCCATATCTGGCCAATACTAATTTTCCCTTCAGTGACCTATCGTTATATCGTTCAGTGACCTAAAGTTATAATATGTCCTAAAAAGTCCAAATTAGCAGGAAAAATAGTGAACTATTTACTGAGAAAACGAAATTTTCAGACCAGTCACATAGGGTTTGTGCACAGAGTGACAAGTGATGGCCAGATATGGGAATCTTTCCCGTATGGTTTTCATTCAACATTTATCCAAGACTCCCTACCTTGTTTCATGGAGACGATTTTGTTGTTGCTGAGGTTATAGAAGACACCCTGTGGATAGCTGTCCTCCAGTTTGAAGAGTGCCTCCTTGCCCACGGTACCTTTCCTGGTCATCAGCTCACCGTCTTTACCGCCCACCGATAAGTACTTGCCACCGTTCTTGAAGGCCAGGTTCTCACCGTGGAACTCGATGGCGAAGAGGGCTTCTTCGGACTTAGCCGCCCTCAAGGAGCCGTCAGCGTTCAGGAAGCGATCATCGGAAGCCTGGATGAGGTACTTGCTGGCCGCCGCATCGTAGATCAGAGTAATGACGGCATCCCCACCCCAGGGGATGTTCTCGTTGAAGAGGATCTGTTCTCTCTCCAGGTCCAGGTGGGCAAACTGCTGGCGCTGAACGCTGAAGATGTTGACCTGAGGGTGGATGGCCAGCTGGATGCTCCAGGACTCGGACTCCCCGACCGACTTAGCCTTGCAGGTGGGCTCGCCGGAACCGCTCAGGTAGTCCAGCGTCTCGGCCTTGATGGCGAACTTGCCATCACCCTGCGGCTCCACTTTGAACTTCTGCATCAGGTCCGGGCTGGTCTCGTCGTCCATCTTCGCCGCCGTCACCTTGCCGTACTTGTCATAGGTCAGGCGGTACACGGTGGTCAGACCGGACTTGGACACCTTGTTGGACAGGTAGAAGAGCTTGCCGTCTGCGGTGGCCGGGTTCAGGGTCCAGACCTGTTTGCTCTTCAGAGAGGTCCCGTTAACATTCACCGTGCCCAGCTCAGTCGTCAGGTATTTCTTGGACGAGGCGTTGATCAGCCCGGCGTCAAACTGCAGCACATCCCCTCCACTTACGGTTCCGTTAGCTGCCGACATGATTGGAATGTCCTCGTCTAGAGTGCAGTGGCCCAAAGCTGTATGCCAAAAGTAAATCACAGACTAACAAGTGTCTGAAACCGGTCTTCACACTGCAGCTGTACTAGCACCAAAACTCCACTCTTACTTCACCGACTGTTCTGCTGTAAGTTCTTTTCCGTACGAGTGGTGTACACGCGGGATTTGTCAGGCTACAATCTGATATAATTATTCTCATGGAGTGATGTCTCATCCACTACGTGCTCGAGCAGTGAGTCAGCTAGCTTTCTATGGTATAGCCCTAACCCCTTTCCAATGATATGATCCACACCGCGAGTTCACCCGGCCCGACAGGAAACAGTTTAGTGACTGTGTTGGTTAATGGGCGTTGGTTGGCACTGTCACGTGACCGGCACCACTACCACACACGCACAAAGTTCTGTTAGGGGGCCAACCAGTCGGGTGCCCTCGTAAATTCTGCACCCGTGCAAGGAATGCAGATCGGCGTGTATTATGTGCATCTGTTTGTATTGTACACGTGTATTTCAGCCACCATTGCAATGCATTGCATCTATAGTTACACAGTATCGCTGTACACGAACTCCGGTGACTACTGAGCCCTGTCATATGCTAATGTCTATCCTGTGGACCAATGGCAGACTAGCTGACGTCATTCGAAGCTAGTCATGCGTGACGCGCCATGACACTTCGATTCAACGCCTGGCTGATTAGCATGAGAATACAACAGTATCGATCATCTATATTTGGACGAGTGTTGGGTCAAATATTGACATGTAAATATAACTTCCGATACATTACATAACCATATCAAAACGTGGTAATATTTTTAACCATGCAGTAGGATGATAAAGAGGTTTTAAAACAATTTAAACAAAACATATATGCCATTGGTGATAAAATACAAGGAATTATTTCATAAAAATGAAAGGCTCGTGGTGTTCAAAAAGGATGTGAATCTAATCTAACCGTTTTCCCAAAACCAGAAATCAAAACATTTGGAGGAAAAAATGCTTGTTAATTAATGCTTTAAAAAACAATTGAGCAAATACAAAATTGTCATCAAAATGCTGGCTCGCATTTTCAGGCTCCGTAAACGCGTGGCTAGTAAACAGCGCAAGTCATATACAATTCTAAATTAAGCGCATTGAATTCCTGAGTTTACAAATCTTTTTTTTGTATGTATTGATGTGATTTACCATTTTACATCGCTACTGATAAAAAAACCTCTCAGTGAACTTCCATCGAAGGCATTCAACCTGAAAAAAAAAATCATGACAAGCGGAAAAGGGGCAAACCGCACCAGGGAATAATGACAACAGCCGTGTGTTTGTAGTGAGATTGCAATACATGTATAGCCTATAAGAATATGGAAATCATTGGCTGTGATTCATTATAGAAGTATGTTTCGCACAGGTATTGGACTCGGAGGTTATTAAAAACCGCTTGGCAGCCGTTGTGGTTACGGTTGCAGGCCAGTGAATAGGCCCAATGTTGCCTTTGCCGATCAAATTTTGATTTGCAACCCCCCTTCCCCTCCCCCCCCCCCCAAAAAAAGGGGGGGATCTTTTAAGAGAACCGCGCCTGAGCCTGGAAATGACAAAGTCAATATATTTCTAAACAAGAATGTTTACATTTAAATGCGCCTATAAATATAATGGGAGTGAAACGCGCATCAGGGGCGGATCTAGCTGTCAGGAAACGGGGGGGGGGGGGGGGGGGTGATGTGGGGGGGGGGGGTTAGATGTGGGTTGAGTCCAAGGCGTGGCGAAGGCATGTCCTGCTAGGGGGGTCTCGGGAAATGCCCCAAGGGAAAAAATGAAAGCTACGGTGATTTCTCCTGCATGCATTTAAGGCAATTCAAGAATAAATTTATAAATGTTAGCATTCCATTTATTATTTTTGGTCCAATTTTACTAATTTCACAACAAGGGTTGCAACCCCCCCCCTCCCCCTCAGAACCGCCACTGCCTACACGGTTCACCGTTTTCAGCGATAATTTGTTATTTGACCTCGCGGGGAAATTCCCCACAGAAAAGGTGAGAGAAGATCGCAATTATGCTGCTGTTGTCCCGCCTTTCGTGAATTCGTATTTGATAACAATATCCCATGTGGCGGCTGCTGATTTAGTTGCCATGGTAACGTATCCAGCGTATTACGTCATCCCATAAGTTTTACCTTGTTTCAGTATGGTTAATAGTTAATAAGTATTCAAATGGAAGAAAAAACATGCATGGGCCAGATGGAGGTACTCTTATGCCTAAATCCTGTCGGAACAAAAATCAGTACTGTCGTTGGATTGCCGATGTGCAGAGTGCGCGTTAAAGGGATATAGGATCATTTGCTTCTCATGCATTTTGTTTGTTTGCAATAATAACACCATTCAAAATCTAAAAACAAAATGTTTAAAGGGAAGATACAACATTTGCAAACATCAAAAAAACGAAATGATCAAATTATCACGAAATATCTTACTGGATTGTTAGGGAATGACAGTCTAAAGCATCCTGTAAAATTGTGGCTCCTGGTGTGCTGACCTTTTCAAGAAAACTTGTATTTTTCGGCCGACCAGCGTTGGAGAAAACTGGAGTTTTCATATTAAGTTATTCCGTATTTTCTGTGCAATTTAATCACACACCTGTGAAGAGGTACAAGCCAGCTAGACTGATTCTCTATAGCCTTACAATTCCCAAAGTCTATAAATTGCTCGGTTTCATCTTAAGAGGGGTCAGGGAACCAGACTACAAGAACGCTGTTGGTTTTCTTGGATTTTCCAGCAACTCCGAGCCCAAAACGTGAAGCAAGTCAATTTAACAGTACATACAAATACACCAAATCCATTTATTTCTGAAAATTGCAGCAAAAGCAAATGTTGTACATTCCCTTTAAAATCTGATCTATTAGGGAAACAGACTATGAGTCAATGTTGAAAAGAAAAATGTGCACTCTTGCAATTGGCTACCGTGTCGTGTTTTAATACAAAGTAACAGGAATACCTGTTTTTACCATCTTCGTGAATTGGGGCCGCAATATCTTATGTCTTATAACCGCTGAGAATGAAGCTCAGCTAAGAGAAGATGCACTTTTGATATTAACATCCCCTGAGGGCCGAACAGCGGGCTCGGTAGCCCACAGCGACACAGAATCGTACGGCAAGATGATGGTACTACATCATCGGTATCATCTTTCCGTATAATGACGATGTCCTCCCGTCTTGAAGGTGAACTCATCCCCACGTGGTTCTTGTGAGTCATTGCGCCTATTTTGTCTCTGTCATGCCCCAATTTTACAGACACATAAATACATTTTCTCGGTTTCGTTATATAACTGTGTATTGTATAGGCTTTATGCTACCTAAAGTATAAGTTCGTATCAGTGCATTTAAGGTGTATGATACACAGGAAGTTATTAAGTGAAGTCATTGCCCTTTTGTGATTTTCCTTTTGAAGTACTATATATTTAGCCTTGTATGTTTTTCATTTATATCTTAGAGAAATACATCTTGCGTCCTTGATTTTTCTGTCCAGTTCTTTTAAATTAATCCGACATTATGTTTAGAAACTGCAAGTCATTCATAATAAAGCCTGGGCCATGTCGTTAAATTACACAATTGGAAATCGGAATACAATAATAGAGTATAACGCATGTCGATGTCATTTTACACAATTTCCTTGTGTAATTATAACCATATTAGGCATGCAGTAAGCTACCTTGCAACCAAAGGGGCCTACTCCGATTAAAAAAAAAAGTTACAACAAAAGTAAACCTCAAATAAAAGAAAGTGTAGGCCTATGAGGTCACAACCCGTGCAGAATTCAATACTGTGACTCAACGGTGTTTTCCCATTTTTATTTGGCAACCGGCCGGACCTGTTTTCGGGGTTGCAGTATCCATTGTTGTAGCCCAGCCCACAACAAGCCCAGAGGGTTTGATATGCATGACGTGTGCACACACAAAAATACAAAGCAAGATCACGGTCAGTGACACATGGATGTGTATTCGCCAGTCATTTTCAACTATCACAAAACCCGGGTCGATATAAATTGGGCACAAGAAGATTAAAGAAGAACCGTGCTTTCCAGAGGGAGTATTTTTTGTGACGGTCTGAGAAAATGATGGTGTCGACGTTTCGGGCAATATTTCCGGACTGTCTCAGGCAAGCACGTGGTAGAGAGCGTGTGCGGTGGAAATTGTTAGGCAGTGACAAACATTGTACTGCATAATCTTCTATAATAGCCTGATTCACAATAGTGGGACAGATAGGGTGAATATTTGGGGAAATTAAGCCTTTTATATGTAGAATAACAAAGAATTTTCAAATTTTCAAAATGGCTGCTTTTGCTTGTTATTCTGTCTTTACCTGTATTTGTTTTAAAAGGACAAATCTGCGATGGCCCTATAGCAAAATATCTTTGCTACCGTATACTAGTGGGGTTATTCTTGAATAACCACACTTGTATCTTCATTCAGTTTCCAAAAACAAAAATGTCATGTGAACGTGCAAATGTATCAACAAAATGACCACCCAATAATACCTTCTACATAGGCCTATGTATATTGGTCAGTAGTAAATAGATTTAGAATTGCAAAAAAGTTCGAAAAAATTACGTCTTCTGAATATTGTCACCAATATTTGGTACGTCCTCGACCGTATCGATATCTCATTTAATCCAGAGTTCAGGTTTTCACACCAAAAAATAAACTACCCAACGCCTAACAGTCACTCGGCGACATTTGCAGAACACTTTCACGGATAGTCCTAGTAAACCTTGTGAAAAGAGTTAGCACTTCGAGTTTCGAAATTAAACTATTCTAGCTTTTCTTTATAACATCCTTTACTCCGGTAACAATTACGACTAACTACCGTGAGCATCGGCCAGCTGAGGCCGTCACCTATGGGCGCTAGTCCCGTCAGATCGTCCCACCTGACACGCCACCTGGGCGAGATTTTCTCGGGACCAATGTTTTTCTCCAGCCAGTTTTAAGATGAATGCACTATTATATTCCACTCAGTCCCGTTTCGGTTAAATTGCTCGGTTGCGGATCGGAGTACACGTTTTTGGCGTGAAAATGTGAAGTTCTGGTTTCATTTGGGCTTTGTGGGGCACTGGGGTAGGAATCATAACTCCTTAAAGATGCGGATTAAGCAAGTTTGCAAAATAACAACTTTACAAGGAAGAGTCGGTGTCCAGACCATTTTGGGGGTCCCCAATTGAATTGTATATCGGAGGGCAAATATTATCAAAGGACCTGTTTCAGTGGTCCGTCGCTCACCTTTGCGGTGGAGTGGAAGGGACTTTTTATTTTTATACTTTCACTCATGAGTGCGGAGGAATTTCAAACCAAATTATTTAAAAGTCTTTCTATTCCATATTCTGAATGCAGCATTAAATAAAGGTAAACATTTTGGGCGCAAAATTGTAAGTCAAACTGGCAAATGCAAGAGGCAAAGACCCTG